CTTTGCTTGCCTTTCACGACTTTTGTATTCATTGCTTGTATTAATGACAATGTGAACATGGTTTGCTGGATTTCGTCGGAAGTTTTCTTCGAAAGGCTTAATTCTAAAATTGGTCCTCTCAATTATACCTTTTCTACTAGGCACTTCTTTTAAAAGTGGTATTTAAACTATATTTTTTTGGTTTACCCAAAAATAATCATACGGCCGTCATACGACGGCACATGACAGAATATATAGTGTAACCCAGAGAAAAAAGTCTAGACATCTAGGTCGAAAGAGAGTATAGTGTAAAGACCGTGTATATTATTCAGCCTAAAAAGGGTAAACTACATCAAAGTTCACTAAAGTTTGGGTAAAATTCTATTTTACCACTGAAGTTTGAAAAGTTATGGTACGGTCACCAATATAATTGATTTGTAACAAGACACGTCAGGATAGCTGAAATGTCTTTTTCTTTAACAAATTAATACCATCAAATAATACTCTTGTTTTTTAGTGACCATTTTGTTACAAATCAATAATTTTAGTGAGTTTAACAGGACTTTCAAACTTCAATGGTGAAAACAAGAACATAACCAAGCTTTAATGACTTTTTTGTAGTTTAACAAATCGGGTTGTAATCAACGGAGTTTGCTAACAAGATATGCGAGAATGTCCGTGAAGCCGTGGGGCCATTAAGGAGACGAGAGGATTGTTGCCATTGCCAACAAGGAAAAAAAAGTTGAACCCAATACTCAATAATAATGGAGAGGCAATTGAGCCATGCTTTATAAAGAAGAAAAATATAGAGTTTGGCTTGAAGTATAAATGCTGATATCATCTTTAAACTGAAAAGGTCAATGTTTTGAAGACAATTAAAAGCAAAAATTGAACGTAGGCTATGGGCCATTTGCATTTCTCGACTTTAGAAGGCCTTCATTTGTTTTAAGTTGCGTTTGATTCACGGAATATAATATAACCAGTGAGAATAAAAGATTATACGGGAATAGGATTACTGAAAATATTGTATTTTGTGTTTGGTTAATTTAGCAGGAATGTAAGATTACCGTGTTTGGTTAAATGAATAAAAGATTATTAGAATGTATATTTGACCAAATTGTCCTTATTATATATTTGTTTTTTTAACAATTTGGAAAATATTTATATATTTTCTTTAAAAAATTGAAAATATAAAAAGGTTTAATGAAAGGATAAAATTTTATTTTAACCCCTGAACTTCATATAAAATTTTAATTATATATTTTTTTTGTAAATATAAAATAGTTTAAGGATAAATTTGTAATTTAACCTTCATAGAATTTTTATTATTTAATGACAAAAGAATGATATTTTTTAAGAATAAAAAAATTAAGGGCATTTTAGTCCAAAACGTCGGTAATGACATTCCTTGTAATATACCCAAAAAATTCACTATTAGTAATAAAACATTACCGGTAATGACATTCCCGGCCAACCAAACGGGGAATGTGGATTCCCCACATTCCCCAAACCAAACAGCCCCTAAGGGTGCGTTTGGTTCACGGAATGTAAGATTACCAGTGGGAATGTAAGATTACCAAGGAATAGGATTACTGGGAATGTTACATTACTGTGTTTGGTTTGTTTGGCAGGAATGTATGATTACAGTGTTTGATTGAAGGAATATGAGATTACTGGAATGTATATTTTACCAAATTGTCCTTGTGCTATATGTGTTAACAAGTGGAATTCTAAATATTTAAATTAAAATATTCATATAAAAAGCATAAAAAATATATTACTTTATTATTTTAAATTTATATACTTTTTAATAAAATTTATATATAATTTTTTTATAAAATTTAAAAGATAAATGGGTAGAATAAAAGAGTAAATATATCATGTATTATTTTAATTATAAATAATATTATTTTTTTACATTAATTATCTAAAAATATATTAAAATTTTACATCATGATTTAACTAAATAAGTATATGAAAATTTTAATAGATGAACCATTTTACTCCTAAAGGTTACAAAAGCTAAATTTTATAATTTAAACATTTTTTAAAATTATAACAAAAGCTAAAATTTATATTTATTCATTCAATAATTTCATCATTTTATTTTGAAGTTCTTGATTGAGGTTGTTATTATTATTCTCCCCTAGAGTGGTCTTCATTGTTGTTTAAAATTTGCTCTAGTTTGTGGTGTTGCAAAGTGGATTTGGAATTTCCGAAGATTGATGTTCAATTCGAAAATCTGGCTGTTGAATTTTTTGTCCATGTTTGGAGCAGAGCATTAGCAACCATTCCCAATTTTATTTTTAACATTATCGAGGTAATAATTAATCCCTTTTTTAAAAGCACATATAATGCTTCTATTTCTTGTTCATCCCATTCCAGGGAATGCTCTGCCATCCCAATGTAGTAAAACAATTTAAACCAGGCATACATGGAATAAGGATCAACCTGGTATAAATAATGAAAATTGAGAAGTAAATAGGTGTTCAGAACATAATTAAGTAAAAGTGCAAATTGAAGGATAAGAGATAAGCTTACGTTCTTTGTTTAGCTTACAGAACAAAAATAAGTATAACATTAACCATAAAAAACAACAACAATGTCCAGACTTACAAAAGATAATAGCCATGACATTCTAAACTTAATCATATATGTTGGCTATATTATATACAAAAAAAATTCTCCAAGTCAAAAGCTTCACATATACCTAGTGAAGCTAGACAAAAAAGTTGGGACCATATTCTAAAGTCAAAATAAAAAAAGATCGGCATACAATCTCCATCATTTGCAGTTGTAAAATAAGAACTATATCTGCAGACCACTGAAACCACATTGCCAGTTGCCAAGGTTATATCCTAGAACATAGTATATTTCCAAGGAATGACTTACTGCCCTCAACATATGGTAACATGAACTAACAGCAGAAAAATTCAGGATGAACTACCTTGACATGTCAATTTTTTCCACTTTTCAAAATCCAAGCTAGAAAGCAGAACAACATGCTTCTTTCCACTTGCAGCAGCAAAATTTGCCAAATATTTGGCAAATTCAACTATTCGCCCCTGATTGGAATGACCATTCAAAGATTAAATCATTCAATCTACATTCAAGTTTTGTCTAGCTTGAAAATGAAGTGGGAAAATTATTTGGAAGACAAATTTTAACAATGTCAAAAGGATACAGTTAGTTCACAATTGAATTTCAAATGGCATTTTGATCCCTCAGTCAGGACAATCAGAAATGACCCAGCACTCGATCTAAAAGTAGTCATTCATTGCTTCAAGAAGGTAATTGAAAGAAAAGAATCCATTAGCATAGGACATCAATCCAGGCACTTAACTATATAAATTTAAAAAATTTTATTAATGGGGTTCCCTATATCGAACTGACTAATATTTAGTTAACACAGTTGCATTCTAATAACGATCAAATAAAAAATAACAAGCAATTTACAAGTAAATTCAATGGCTGTTATCCTTATAGTTCAGTTTTAAGTAGTAAAACGGCCTTAAATCGATGATGAGTATTCAATGTTAACCATCTCAGAAGGTCATGGCAGCAGAACATACTTGCAACAGGAAAATATAATCGAATCATTCTAACTATAATTGAAGCAATACCATAACGACCAGAGACCACTGTTGGAGAAGAGTGCGATGACTGAAAGATGATTCGTAAGTTGAAAGATCAAGAAAGGACGTACTCAAGTTCTAATATATTAGTCCAAGCTTACTATAACAAACAATACGAAAGGGGAGTAAAGTGAGCACCTTCGAGAGGAAGAGCAAGGTCGCCGCAAGGAATAGGGTATAAGCATCGTTTCCAACGCAGGGAAGCACAAAGGGATAATATGTATGATTCTTGAAGAATTGTTGAAGTTGCCAGCCTTCACATCCTGCTTTTGACAGACAGTTCATGTTGTATTTGGTCCCTCAAGACTCTCCTAAGCAATTTGTTAGATGCAGTTCTGGGAAACTCTGGGATGATCTTCACACTGTTCACCTGTGATCAATCAACTATCAATGTCTCTCTCTTAATGCAAACCATAAATATCCCTAGCCAACATATTTATTTATGTAGAAACATATTCACAAACAAACCACAATACACCCAAATGGGTATGAGCCTATAACTGAACAACAATGCTATTGCAGTGAAATTCTAATTTACAATGAATCTGAAATAGCTTGACCATCCCAATTTTTTGTCAAAGTAAAAGGCAATTGCATAAATATAAATAAGAAACTCTAAAACATCCTCATGTTACATCTGTCTGTAAATCTTGTTTAACATTAAAATCAATACGATCTGAAGCTTTCAATTTAATAATTAGAAATCTGCATTAAGAACTCAAAATAAACATCTGATTGGATTTAATGCAAGTTATCAATGATTGGAACTTACAAAAGTTTAAACTTAATACATGAAAAAATATCACATAGCCACATCTATGTACAATCTCAAAGAGACCCAAAGATCACCCAATTAAAATTATATTGCCCCAAAACAGCCATTTCTATGATATAAAATGGTTTGCATCACAAGCAGGTTCTACTTTTTTCTGTTATATATTACTACAGCTATTGTTTCTCTAAATTTGAAATATTCAATCATTTGAAGTTAATTGTTCTTATCCCACAACAAATCCATCAAATAAGTTGTCAAAATGCCAGTTCAGCTAGACATGGTAGTAAACCAAACGCACAAAGCAAGAACTCAACTAAAGAAACTCGAACAAGTTTGTCTAAATTCAAAATTCCCTTTCAAAGCATAAACGGAAGGAAAGAAGAATTTAACCCCCAGCTGTTCTATCTCTACCAAATCAATACTATGAGCAAATAAACTCAACCATCTACGAAAATCCTCGTAACCAAACACCGCCTTACTCTCAAAAGTCCCTTTCAAGCCTTTCGTCCTTCAATTCATAACTTAAATTGCCATCAGATCAAATGACTAAGTGACCACAATAATGCAGTAAAACCAAGAAACTAAGAGGAAATCAAAATAAGGATAAACATATGTATCCTGGCAACCGTGGGGTCCTCCGCTTGAATCTCATCGGTAACCTGAAGGATGGTGTCGTTGTTAGTGGCGCGACCGAACGAGGGTGGGGGTTGAACCGCACCGGCGATCCCACCCGGCGATATCCGACCCATCATAAATCCTGAACTTCATATCCACCAAATCCTCCTCCGACATTTTTGCACCTGCTTCCACTTGTTCAATTCCTCCTCAAATCCACTCACCCACTTATCACCGTCGACGGCTCATCAAATCAAATCCACCACCTAAATTTTCCACAAACGGAAAACAAAACTGAAAATTCAACTAAATATTAAATTTAAGTACCGACCGAAAAATGAAAGGAGTAAAATTCAAACCTGAATTCTAAAATAGGAAATTCGAAGCTTAAAAAGGGAACATAAGAGGAATAGGAAGTGAGCGTTGGGGAAATCAATGGAGAGATGGGAAAAGACTTTGTCCATTTGCTTTGAAGTCTCACACCAAGAAGCTCATAAATAAAGGATAAGCGGTGCACCACTCTGGGTTTTTTTTTTTTTGGTTCTTTCAAAACCAAGAAATATGTTGAAAATAAAAACTGAAATATGAACACCAGAAGCAAATATCTAAGTTAAATCAAAGAAGAAGAAGAAGATTTCAGCAGAACGAAGGGGAGCGTGAGAAGGCTATTTTAGACAACGGGGACAGGAATGAGTAAATACCTAAGGGAGATGAGGGATAAACATTCCTGGGAATGCAGTAGAAAAAATCCCTGTTGGTATTAACTTTTTCCTGATACTTGGTAATATAACCCATCTAAACATGGGTATATTCATCTGGGAAAACAACATTCCTCCCAGGAAATAAATATACCCTGAACCAAACGAGGCCTAAGGGAATAAAATCTGGAATGAGTCGAGTCTAAAAAATGTAAACCTCAAACTAGAATGATCCAAACTTACAAAAAAAAGGTAAGAATTCACATAAAATAGTTATACATACCAAAAGAACATGCAAATGCTATATCGAATTTCCCACCTGTAGACACTTAATTTCGCCCGGAGTAATTTTGATTTTATATTCTTATTTTATTATTATATATATATATATATATATGTATGTATATATATAGTAATACAGTTTTTGAAAATGTTTTGACAAAATATAATGTATAATTTTCGGAAAAACGATTTTCGAAAATAAGTATATATTATATATTTTTTGAAAACGTTTTTAAAATCTATATAGTATATGGTTTTGAAAATTATTTTGAAAACATTTATATATTATATAGTTTTTAAAACATTTTGAAAATATATATAATATATAGTTTTTAAAACATTTTGAAAATATATATAATATATAGTTTTTAAAACATTTTAAAAACATATATTATATAAAACATTTTTGAAAACATTTATATATTATATAGTTTTTAAAACATTTTGAAAGTATATATAATATATAGTTTTTAAAACATTTTAAAAACATATATTATATAAAACATTTTTTGAAAACTTATATATAATATATAATTTTTTAAAAACATTTTTGAAAAGTATATAATATATAATTTTAAAATATTTTTGAAATTATATATTATATAGGTTTTGGAAAATATTTTTTTATATAATATATTATTATTAATTTTTTCATTTTCTCTGTTTTATTATTATTAACATTTTATTATTATTTTTTTGTAGGTCTAAAGTTTAGGTCCGAATAAAAGGGTCCAAGTCAGAGTCCAACAGGCCCAACCAGGTAGCCTGATCCAGCTGACCCGATTAGGCCCAAGTGCATGAAGATTACACAGCAAGACTAGGGTTTCTGAAACCCTAAAGTCAAGGCACCGCACAGCAAGGTCAAGGGACACGCGAACCGGTCGGACGTCGACCGAGGATCCCGGGACTAAACCATCCCGGGATTTCAGCAGTAACGCCACGAGCAAAACGGAACAACCCGGGGTATTGGTTCACCGAGCAGGGTATAAATACCCCGTGACCAACAGAGGACAATCGGTACACAGAGATCATCAGCCAAGATAAAGCCAAAAAACCATCACAGTGAAACAGAGATATATCACAAGACAAAAAACATCAACCATCGGCCAGAAAACACCACCAACGGGAGGCAAAACAACATCATCAAAAACCCACGGCAACCACAGTACCGATCACCAGAACCACGAGAGTACACGAAAGAAATCGAGCTAACAGTCAACCACAGAAACCATCAACATCGAGAAAGGCCATAAACATCAACGACGAACCAAAAACCACAGCCAATATCGAGAACAATCACAAAACAAAAACAAAAAAACCAAGCAAGCAAATATTCTACACAAGAAAACCCACAAGCACAAGACCAAACCGACGGACACCGGAAGTAAAAAGCCACCGACGAGAAAGGTAAAGGCCGAGGCTTTGACGCTAGATCTACGCCAATAGGAGTATTTTTCGGTTATTTGGGCTTTGGTGTTTAGTTAGAGACTTTGAGACGAATATTCGGCGAGGTTTCGATTTTCCGGCCGCCGGCATTTGACAATAGCCGGGCTCCCACCGGTGGTGCTCTCTCAGGAGAGAGGCGACAGAACCAAGTTTTCTCTCGTTTTAGAGAGAGAGAGCATTCTGAGGGAAATGGTGAGAATGAGGAGAGATTAGGCTTATTGAGGTATTTATATACCAAGGACCATAATACAATTACAGCATTGTTAAACTTTCTCCGCCGTCCCTAAGAGTTTAAATCGCTTTACAATCTGGTCACTTCATGTAATTTGGCCTTTGAATTTTCGATTTATTCAATTTGGTCATCGTTTACACTTTTTATATTTCATGAATTAACCCCCTAATTTTGTTTATTTTCAATTGCAGTTCACTTTTTAAATTCATTTCAGTCCATAAATTCCAATTTCACTCAATTTGATCCTTTTTTATTTTTATTTTTTTTCATTTTTCATTTTTCATTATTTTTATTTTATTTTATTTCACATTATTTTACTATTTTTACGTAATTTATTATTTTTTAATCATTTTTTTCATTTATTTTATTATTGTTAGTATATATTTTTTATTTTATCTTTCTTCTGACTTACTTTTTGTGTCCTTTTTTTAAAAAAATTCTCTCATTTATATTTCTCTTTTTTCCTCTCTTATTTATTTATTTATTTACTTTTTTTTGTCATCTAACATTTTTTATTTTTCTTTTGGAAGAATTTCAACCAATCAGATGTAAGTAATTCGAATCGAAATTTTAAATTTAAATTTAAATTTTTAATTTTCGCAATCTAGGCAACCGATAAATTAATTGGTACCGAAAGGGCGGTTCAAGGGTGATAATCCTTCCTTGACCGTAACCGACTCCCGAACTCGACATGTTTCTTGTAAAACGTAGATCATGTAAGATGGTGTCCGATCCACCTAAATATTTTTTAAAGTGATCGGTGGCGACTCCAATTCGTTTAATCCAAATCAAAACCCAATTTTAAGACTCAACCGAAAGACAGTTCCGACACCACCTCAACCTTGTCTCGATCTGTTGTGCACTTTGTCTATTGAGCAATTATGTGAGCCGTGCTTACTCCAGAAGTTGTTAAGTTTGTCACATGAGCTGGAAGGTGTTATGACGTCACCTGTACAGCTGGGTCTCGTTCCAGAACCTTTCATATGTCTCTACTGTGTAAACCTAAGTAATATACGAAGATGTCCTTTCAGCATTTCTTGTATTACAACATTGTCTAAAACAATGCTCGCATGTGTACAAAATACATTAGAGAAACAACAAAAAGCAACAGCATTCAACATGATGCGTATTGTCTTGAGTTAAAAGTGGTCTAAAATGGCAGACAAATCACTTCTCTTTATATAAAGCAAGTAATATTATGGTGGAACTGCACATTCACTTTGCCAATTTTGACTATCAAAAAGCCAATGGTTCGTTGACCATGAACCCGCTACGGACCGCCTCGTATGCATTTTATTTTCACAGTAAGTAAAACTCGATTTGAAAAATCAAATTTTTTTAACTCAATTCGACTAAAAAAAACTTGATTTGAATTGAGTTCGAGTTGCAATTTCATAAACTCGACTCGAAAAAATTTCAAATTCAAATCGAGTTATAAAATGCAACTCGAATAACTCGAAATTTTTGGTAATTAATAGATTTATTTTCAAGTTTGACTCGAATCTTTAGACTTTGTATAATATATGTATATCACATATGAAAAAATTATGAAGAAATATATTTGTATTACATATATGTTTCTAGAAAATCACTTACATTGGAATCAAATAATATTATAAATATTTACAATTAAATTTAAACAGAAATTCAAAAACTCGACTAGATTCGAATTTTTTTAAAATCAAATCCGAGTTATAAAATAAAACTCGTCAACTCAAAATTGTTTAACTCAACTCAATCTAACTCTCCCCCTTATTTTCTTTGGTAGTATTAAAAAATTGAGAACATATATTTATAGCAAGTTAACGACTACAATATATAGCAAATCTAAATTCTTGTAAATAAGGACAAACATAAGATTTTACTTCTATAATTTTAAAAAGATGAAAATAAATTATTAAAAGAAAATATAAAAATATCTAAAAATATATAATAATTTAAATTCATAGAAAACGATGGTTCCAGCCACACCAGTATATCTATCTCTGTTTGTAAATGGACCTCAAAATTCTGGTCATGCCCCTCATTTATTAATCAACAATGTTTGGTGTGTTTTCTTCCTGAACGTCTGAAAATAGGTGGCAATTACTTTGACTAATTTGATAATTATTTGGCAATTACGATGTTCGGTGTGTTTTTGTATCGTATTTGTCGTGTGCATAGAATACCTTTTTTTCACTTATATAAACTTCTTGCATTCTAGTCACCAACCTTCTAAAGTTGTAATACGAGTCTTATATGACACTTTCAGATATTATTTTTTATTAAATTCATTTAAGGCATGGTTCTAAAAGGGATAGAATTTGTAACTTTTAAGGAGAAAGTGTCGCTTAACTAAACAAAAAATTTATAATATTTTTAAATAAAAAATTAGGTTAAATTGCTATTAAAATTAATTTTATTTATTTTATAAAAATATATCAATTATAAAATTAATTATTATAACAGCAATAATCAGATTAGATTTTATATTGTTTTTCTCACGAAATATGTTTGAGAGAGAACAAATAAATAAAAAAATAATTAAGACCATTTTAAAATACAAATATTAAGATTTAAACTTAAATATTAAATATTATATTTTAAAATAATTACATAAATTTTTATTTTCAAATTAATAATAAAATGATCTATTTAATTTCTAGTAGTATAAATTTTAACTCCAAAAACAGGGCTAAAATAATAATAAATATTCTTAAATTAAATAAAAAATTGACAATGTATTAATTCCACTTATGGGTGGAAGTCCTAATATTTAAACAATAAAATAAAAGTACTAATATTTAATTGGTGTTCGTAAAATTTATATATATATCAACACAAATCATAACTACATATAAAAATTGATCAAAATTTTGAAAGAACAAAGGTAAATCATAATTAAAGATTACATGACACTATAAAATAAATTTTATGATGACACATTAGCATTATTATTAATTTTTTAACGATAGATAACCAAAAAATAACATTATGTGTAATTTAAGAAAAAATAAGACAACCAAAATAGAACGACAAGAATAAGTGGATAACTAAATACATATTTTACCATATATATATATATATATATATGATATTCTGATAAAAGATATTACTTTAATTTTTGTTGATATTAAATATGAATAATTTCTCTCGTTGACTCTCTCCTTTACAAAATAATAATAATAATAAAATGTCTTTCGCTGGAAGGTATTAATGTACTTTGCATATAAATATTTTTTTATTAATGTAGATTGATTATAAGATAGTATATATTTTAAAAAATTTCAATAATTTGATAATGAAAGTCTATCATCTTAACAGCTTATGGTTTTTAAATTTGAGACCTCTAGAGATAACAATTATGCATTTAACCATTGAGCTAACTTGGTTCGTATATTTTTCATATAAATGTTAAGATTAAATTTGTTCATATAATTAAATTTAAATGAAGAACAACTTTAATTAGTAATTACTCAACTGAAGATAATTGGACACATTACGCTCACTATGATGACTCTGGTTGCAACACACTCCTACTAGTCTCGTTAGGCCCCTTTGGCCATTTACGCCCCTCATGGATTAATTCTTACTATTACGGATCATCTTTAATCCTTTCAAGCCTTAACTGAATCAAATCTAATCATCCCAAGTGAGTAATATCGATACTCCACTTACAGTATCAATACCCTAGGGTCAAGTATCGATACCTATATGAATATCGGTACTATGAGTATTATTACTAAAAATGCATTATTTTTTAAAATTACAAAATCATTGTTTCAAACGATTAAGTAGCCATTAACTTTTGGCCAAATATTCCAACTTCAACATGTTCAATTTTCAAAAGGAGACATAAATGAAAAGTAAAAGAAGAAATCAAGTAGTAGCAACATGTTGAAAAATATGGCGTTTTTTCCGAAATATCACCTATACCCTATATATTTTCATGTCAGACACCCTTTAAACTATTTTTTCCGATCTAACACCCTTTGTAGTAAGGCGCGCCTCCTGCAGCACGCTTTACGCTGATCTGACGCCACGTGGGTATAGCGCGGGGCAGGGGTCGCGCTTTACCTTTAAATCTGACACGCGTCAGAAAGGCGCGTCCCCTGCGGCGCGCCTTAAGTTTAATTACCCACCTACCCCGACCGTTCACACCCCACTCCCTCCCTATAAATACCCTCATTCTAAATCACTTTCATCACACCAAATTCTCTCAACTTCCCTCAAATACTCTTATATTCTATTTTAAATGTTTAAGGTATATTTTATTATATTTAATATTTTGTTTTTAATTTATTTAAGTATTTAATTTATTTAATATTTTATTTAATTAATTTTTTGTAGATATAAAATGGAATGTGGTCTACTTCGCTTGGATGGAAATCATATATCGCGACATTTTGCTAATACAATAACATTTTAACGTTTTAATATAATTTAAATTATTAGTAATAATTTATTTATTTATTTAATGCATGATTATTAGTTTAAAAATTAATTTTTGTAATTATTTAATTTTAGGAGAGGGACCGTATATTAGATCCTTTTTATTAGGAACCTTAAGTTAGTGATACCAAGTAGTGTCTTGCCGTATTTAGTAGAGGTTGGATTCAGTCACATAGGTAGATATGAGGGTCATTGTAAGATAGAACCAGACCTTATTGCTGCCATAGTAGAGCGGTGGAGGTCAGAGACCCACACATTCCATCTTCCGTGCGAAGAGTACACGATTACACTTGAGGATGTTTATATGCTCTTGGGGCTTCCGGTGGATGGATATGTTGGCATACGGATTGTTCGTGGACCCACCTCGGTACATATCGTAAGGAGTTGCGGATGAATGCCTCTCCATTGAAGTTGATGTGATGGCACCAGGATGCGGATTTCTCATTATGGCGTTAAAATCATTACACATTACTATAGTCGGGCTGTCAACTTGAACAACTTGTTCAGCCAGCCCATAGTGGGAGCTTAACGACTGACCCCGAACAGCACGCACATGAACAAACTTTGCATACATCTCAATATCGCCATCTGAATAATTACTTTGAGAATCATCAATCATTTCAACATCATCATTGTTCGATAGTTCGAACGCTGTATAAGTTAATGACAACAATGATGTTGGAAATCTGTACTGCAACGACGACATTCTTCTACTACTTCCAACATAAACCTTCCTCGAAATCTTCGTTATCAGCTCCTCAAGAGTTATGTTTCTCTTGAATGATATTTAACACGCTCATTTGATACGAAAACAACGTTGGTTTCATCTTCTTGAATTTCTCCATAATAATAAACAATAGCTGAAAATCGCGTCATTCTTAGAGTTTAAAAGTGCGACAATATTATATTTGCAAAAAAACAACTGAAACAAACCTGATTAAATAAATAATATATGAACGAAAATATAACACAATAAATTTTTACACATAAACGTAAAAAATTTAAACAACATAATTTTATATTATTACATGCACCACAAAAATATTTCGACGTATGCTCCCGCTTTCCCCTTGAACTGGCACAAAAATTAATTGAAAACAATTACTATAATATTTTTTCAAATAATCATAATAAACAATAAGTATAATAAAAAATATTATAACAAAATTACCTTATAACGAAAGATCGAACGAACTTCTGAATCAAATATAAGAGGATTGTCGAGTGTTATTTACTGGTTTAAATGATTGTTGTATTAATTTCTCGGTTGAGAGGGAATTGTGAGAGAGTTTACAGGGAGAGGGCTATTTATAGCCGAGAGATGATGCTTTAAAGCCGAGAGGTCCAAGTAAATTATGCAAGGCGATGTCCCTGCACCGCGCCTTGCATTATGCATGTCTGATAATTGAGCATGTGATAATTGAAAAGCACAGCCCCTGCCTCGCGCTATAGCCCTACGTGGCGTAAGGCGCGCCCCAGGGGCCGCGCTTTAGACACGTGTGTCCATGTTAGCATAAGGCGCGCTACAAGGGGCGCGCCTTACCCTACGTGGCGCTATATCATCGTAAAGCGCGCTGTAGGGAGTGCGCCTTACTGCAAAGGGTGTTAGATCGAGAAAAATAATCTGAATGGTGTCTGACAGGGAAATATATAGGGTATAGGTTATATATCAGGAAAAACGCCGAAAAATACGTCATTGTTAGCTAGACCTATTTATGAATAGTATGATCGGTCTAGTTTTATTTAAATTTAAATTATTATTTTTTCTAAATTTAAAATATAAAATAAAATATAATAACCTCTTGAAATATTTCAAATATATGAATAATGAAAATAAATCATCAATTAGCTATTTAGCTTAGATCAAGATGAACTCATTCATATCTGAATTTGAAAATCCATTTTAAAATGAATGAATGAAGTTGTATGAATCAAATTATTTCAATAGTTAAATAAATGGTTGTTATTCCTAAAGGCCTCAGGCTTAAGCACCAATCACTGTAGAAGAGGTGATTACGTTTATTGTCAAATGATTGAAATTATTTAAAATAAATATTATTTTGTAACCACTTTAGCTTAATAAAAAAAAGAAATGAACGAAGTTAAACTCATCAATTGGCTTTGGTGGTTAAAAAGAGTGTTATTTTCCAGTTCGAGTAACTGTGGTTATGGAGCGTGTGCACATTGTCAATAGTTAAAAAAAGATTATGAACAAATACTATCTTGAAATCACCCATACTATTAAAAAAAATGAGTGAAGTTGTCAACTTCAAAACTAACTTGGACATAAAAGTAAGGATTAAATTGATAAAATTACAAAATTTAGGGAGTGGAAGCTGTTTTGTCCCAAGTAATTATTATCTTGTCACTTTAACGTATTGGTCTACGTTCCAAACCCTTTTTAATAGGCGATCCAATCGCACCGGTGAAAAACTTGACACACTTAACATATATTTACATCCCATGTTCTCTCTTTCAACGCCATCTTGTCTCCATTTTCTTCCATTTCTTCTTTTCATGAACAATGGATGGGGTCTTACCCTTGATTCTAGTTCCTTTTCTAATCTGTTTCCCGACAAGACCAGTTCCAGTACTAAGCAGCAGCAGCAGCAGCAGTTAGACATGTTTCAGTTCCCCGTTTGTTCTTCCACCGGGGAGAACTGCCGTGGAATAAACTCCTCCTCTGACGATAACCGGCGGTTCGCCGTCGATGAGGTTGACTTTTTCTCCGATGTCCGTGAGGATAAGAAGAAAACCACTGCTTTAACCGTCGTTAATATCAAGAAGGATATTTTTCATGGCGAAAGCGGTACGGGCTCCGAGTTGGATGTTAATGTAGGCGTTTAGTCAATGGTTTAATTTTAGTTTTAGTCCCTATTCTATATCAAATTTTGTGATTTAGTAACTGAATAATGGTTCTTTTCTGCATTGTTTCAGGTGGCACAATTACAAGTGGAATTGAGACGCATGAGTGCCGAGAACCAGAAGCTAAAAGACATGGTGAGTACTGTTAACAACAATTACACTGCTCTTCAAACGCGCCTCGCATCCTTAATGCAACATCAAAGAAATCGGGGCGGAGCCGATAACACCGAAGAAGGAAACCGAGGAATCGGTAGAGAAGAAAGCCCCGAATCCAACAAAGCTCGAAAGCTGAATCCGATGAAGCCAATTGATCAATCCGGTACCGAGTCTACCATGAGAAAATCTCGTGTCTCTATCCGAGCTCGATCAGAAGCTCCCATGGTATGTACGTGTGCGCGTGCCTGCGCTAATACTTTTATCCCGTAATTGTGAGGATTTAATCTGAAATTATTGTTGGGAATCTAATTGATATACAGATAAGTGATGGATGTCAATGGAGGAATTACGGACAAAAGATGGCGAAAGGAAATCCCTGTCCTCGAGCTTATTATCGATGTACAATGGCAGTTGGATGCCCCGTCAGAAAACAAGTATGTTTCAGGGTTCGTTGAACTTAGGTTTAAATGTTGCTTTAGTCCTTTTACTATGATGAATTATGATATATCATACCTCTATTTTAATTTAACGTAGTCGCAGCCGTCGTCGTGGACACCATCGACATTGCAGCCGATGGGATCATGAACCAAAATTTGCTCGCTAGAGCAATGCTTCCATGTTCTTCGATGGCGACGATTTCAACTTCGGCTTCGTTTCCGACCGTAACACTGGACCTCATTCACTCACCTAACGCTCTACAATTCCAAAGACCGACCCCAAATTTGCCTCAAGTATTTGTCCAAGCACTATATAATCAACCATAGTTCTCAAGCCTGCAGTTATCTCAACACGTTGTGTCTTCTTCGCAATTGCAGCAGCCTGATCAGTTGGCTGACACTGTGAGTGCTTCTGCCACGGCGGCCATTGTGAACGACCGGAGCTTCACCGCCGCGCTCGGGCCGCTATTATTCCATCATTGGGGGTGCTCACCCGAATAGTAGCAGCAACGCTTCCAAGTTCCAACAACAATGCGAATACCACAAATAGCAGACAATAATAGATTAGGACTCTTTGTCTTTCCATTGGGGTAGGGTTAGAACTTAGAAGAAGTCGTTCACAAATTTCATTTTTTGTTATTATCGTTTCTTTTTTCATAGATTTATAGTTGTCTTCCATTTTGATAGAATTCATTTCTTTTAACATGTATGCATGAGTATGCTTTCATATGTATGCATGTATGTTAGTTAATGTGCACATCATCCACGTATAAGTGTACTTAATATTAGGAGTGTTCAAAAAATCCGATCCGACTAATTTAATCTGTTGATTTAAAAATTTAGATATCTATTATATTTTTTAAATTTTTAGACAACTTAGATTGAATATTAAAAAAATCATATTATTGAACCAAATACGAATCAATTAAATTATAATTTCAAATTATCCGAAAATTTGATAAAGAAAAAAACTTTTAGAGTTTAGATAGCCTCTACTCCAATAAGTGAGTAACCCACCAAGTCTATAGACCATGTACCCCAAAAAACTAATTCTAAGATTTTTTTTAATTGTTTATTGGGTGTGAATAGTTAAATATATATAACATACTATAGAATGATAGAAAATGTTTAGTAAAGTAACAAAATATAAAATTTAAAACTGAAATTTTTGTCAAATTAAGTTTTATGTTCGAATACGAATATCCGAATATATGATCCAAAAAATTGGATATTTTATTTTTTCAGATCAAATATTGATCATAATTTTAATGATATGAATTTTTTGATATTCGATATTTTGGATTAGATAGTATCCAATATCTAAAATTGCACACCCCTACTTCAGATAGTGACAAATCTAAAAATATTTTTTAAGATAGAGACACGTATATGAACAACACATGTTTAAACGAGATGAATGCAAATAATATTTTAGGGTGTGCGCAATAAATAATAAGAAATTAATTGAATAAAATTTGAATTTTATGGTAGCCACAAGTCATCCACAACTTCACAAGTGTTAGAAGTAAATGACATAAACACCCTTAAAATTTTAAATTAGTATAATTATCCTGTATATATGTGTGTGCAATTTTGTTATTTTATTTAAACTTGAATTAGAATATTTAAAAAAATGAGTTCACTTAATTTAATTTACTTTAAAATTAATAAATTTTAAATATATATGATTTATTAATTTATTCAAAATTAAATTTAAAAATATTTTCTATAAATAAGATCTAATATTAATATATTTATATATTTGAATTCGATAGTCAAAATACTATTTGAGTTGGTATTAATATTTGAGTTTTCATAGAAATTTTATATTTTAATAAAATAAAATATAATAGTCATATGGATAAGTATCCGTATTACGCAGATTCTCTCCGTCTTCATTAAGATTTCACTTTCTTTATCGTTTGATTGCTTGAAGCTCAAGCAAGCCTTTGCAGAACCAGTTGCGGACCTGTGGTGATATTCCTTCATTCTACCCTTTTGGAATTGATGATTGTTGTGGCAGCCCTTATTGCAGAAACATGCTTGCTTGCTCCGACCCCGGCAAGCTCGAGCTTCGTACACCCTCCGGTATATACCCTGTATGCGGCATTAGTTACTTCGATTCATATTCTCTTGACGGATCCATTTATGTCGAATTGCCGTGACGGCGATAACTTTCATCCGACAAGACCTTTAGCCTTGACACAAGCACACATTTATCCATGTCCCCTGAAAATGACTACCTCTTCTTCGACTGCAGCAAGGATCATGTGATCGTCGAGCCGAAGTCTATCTTCTGTCTAAGGTAACCAGTGTGGTTCTTCATGTCATACCGATAGTTATCTTTGTAAGTATTTACCTGAATGTGTCACCCCAGTACGTGACAAATCTTGCTACTCGTTATTAGAATATTAGAATGTTAATGAGATTAGTTGGTATTTGTTATTCTGTTAGCGCTTCAGTTAGTTGGTTAGCAGGTTGTTAGTGGGCTATATAAACCTAGCAATGTAGTGGATTAAATCAAGAAGCTTTTGTAACCATTTCTCACAGTTTAATAAAAATTTCTTAGTTTCCTTCTATTTGTTCTCTTCATAAAATACAAGTCATTGGTTCTCTTCAACCTTCAACTGCTGCCGTTCACTAGTTTCCGGCCACTGTGCCTGAGCTACGACTTTCTAACACTCGTACTACCCGAATATGGAATATTTTGAGTCGATTTCGATGTTCTGGTAGCTACACATTGCCTCCAGTGTCAGGATCCATCCATGGGAGCCGGAACATGCAGATTCGATACGAATTTCCAGTGTCAGGTACACTTTTCCTTTTTGAGCTATGATTGCAATGAATTATCTGACTACTTTTTTGCCAATCATTGACTGCTTTTATGTTCTGCAGAGCATAACATTTCAAGGCACAATAGGGCAGGAGTCATTGCAGGTTAAATTTCAAAAATTTCGGTCTAGCATCCGATGATTTCTATGTGATGTACTTAGTATAACGAAAAACGAAGATCGGGATTTCGACAATTTAGTATTATTTGTAGGGACTGTGACTGCAGTTTCAGCTTCCGAAGCTACATGAATTGAGGTCAGCATTTAGTTCTTGAGGAAAATAAGAGCTAAAGCTCCGGTAACATGTGGGGTTCAACTTCAAAGCAATGACAATAGGCTTTCCTAAACAAGTCTAAAGAGTGTAAAATGAAAACCAAGGCTCAAACTTTATTATTTCCTTCCTAACTAAGCATATATTTCTTTATTTGGTTCTTTGTACTATGAATAACACAATTACAATGTTTTTAGTAAGAAAAGTCGAGTCAAGTCGAATTGAGGAAGAAAGAAGATACGATTAAACGAGTTTTACGGTCTTTTTCCTTTTCTTTTATAGCATGCATGGTCTGTCGATTAGACAATGTAAAGGACCAGCGTCAGCTGTTAAATCAGGGACCATGTATCCTGGAGCAACAATGAATGCTTGAGCCATGGTGTAAAGAGGATCGGAACTTCCATGGCCCGACGGAACGAAATAAGCACCGTTTATAAACACATCTCTCGAACTCTGCCATCTCCAACTTTCCCAATTACTTGTTTCTCTCTTGGTAACCTCTTTCGAGCCGGGATCATCGGAGGCTATGAAGTAGTTTCCTTCACTCAAAATGGTTGGATTAGCGCTGCCGCCGATGGCATACATCTTCCATTCGTCGTATCGGTTGTTGGCAACATGAGCATAGCCTATGCGGACCCTGTCACGGCTGTCAACTTACATCTATAAATCAGACCAAATGGCCACAAATATGGTTATAAACTTACCTCGGCATCCGTTCGATAAGTCCCTCTCCGAACCGGTTGAAAACTACCGTAATTTTCATAACTTCATCGGCGATAAAGTCGTCGCTGTGGCCTAACAACATCACCTGCAATTCGGGTACATTCAATAGGTTAAAAGACGACAACTAATTCCATAACGAAAAAGGAAATCGAAATCAGAATGATGACTTTATCATGTTCAGCGAAATAGTTATTAGAGATTGTGACATCAGTCGAAGCATGAATGACATCGATAAGTCCATCCGTCGAACGGGCAAGATAGCAGTGATCAATCCAAACGTTGGAAGAGGAATAAATGCTGATTGCATCCCCATCGCTGCCTCCGCGCTTTCCTACATACGTCGGGGAGTTCCGAACTAAACCGGCCGTCCCCGGCTTGCAATCATGTATGCTAATCCCATGTATGATAACATTGGTAACCCCGTGGATCGTTATGCAGGGTCCGTACGCAATCTCGACGTTAGCTCCTCTGCCATCGATGGTCTTGAAACTATTGACTATCAGTTCGTTTTTTAGAGTGATAACCATGTCGGTAGCAAAAATGATCCAAAGTGGACTCGACTGAATTACACCGAAACGAAGTGTGCCGGGAGTAGGGTCGACCGGATCATCATAAGGGTTCGTAACTAAATAAATCGGTCCATATTTGCCTCCTATCGATGCTTTCCCGAAGCCGACAGAACAATCGGCCAATGCCTCTCGGTTGGTAGCCCAGTTGATGGTTCGCCAACACGAGTCTATGATGTTCATGAGCTTCATGGAGGCGATGCCGGAGGTGTTGTATGGTATCAAGGTGTCATGGGGTGATGAATAAGCTAATTTTAAGAGAAGTGAAAGCAAAGGGAGAGTGGTAAAGGGAAGGGAAGCCATGGTCAAGTGGGAATTAAAGTGAGAGATGTTTATAGGAGAATTGTCGAGTAGGTGATCCACACGATTTAAAAGGGGTGGGTGAGAGTTTTTCTTCTAGTTGAAAGTAGAATTTCCATGCTGTAGAAAACATGGTTGCATGGACCAACATATTATACCCCTTTAACCTTACAAAATGAAATTATGCGTTTAGTCTAATTTGTTTCTCTAGGCCTTTTGTTTCAACACTCTTGTTGTCTGTCGTTTTGTTTGAATGATAAGGTAATTATGTTTTTCTAGGAGAAATACACACAGCACAAACAACATTTCAATACTATCATTATGGCATGGGTGAATGTTCGATCAAGTCTAAAGATGGATATAGAACATCGGATTTTCACCTGACTTAGTTTTGTAAGGTTTTATTTAGAGAATATAATTAGATTGGGTCGAGTTCAAATTTAAGATAAAATTATTTAATTTGAGATAATAGCATAATTGTCTCTTATATATTTAAAGATAATTACGATAATATTTATTTTATATTTTTTTAATCATCTTCCTTTTTATCTTCTCCCTCCCCCTCTCGGATCAAATCATGTTGGGTACAAGTTTTATCTAAAATGAGTTGGGTTTCAGTTCTAATCTTAGGTAGGGGGAATTTTATTCGGGTCGGATAGAGTTAGATTGACCAAAAACTTATCCAACACAACCCATACTCACCCCTAATCGAGCCAAATTGAAAAATTAAATTAACCGAGTTTACGAATACCATTTTATCATTCAAATTTATTTAAATTTTTTTAGTGGAATCAAGTTAAAATTATAAAATTTGAGTCGAATAAAATTTAATATATCTATTTGGATTTCTATATAAATTTAAATAAATTATTTATAATGTTACGATGACGATTGATTTCAATTTAATAACTATTCATAACCATATATATAAAAAAAGATTTATAATATTATTTAATAAATTAGAATCATTTAAAATTGTATAATATATTTATAATATTATTTAAAAAATTTAAGGTTAATATCAATGAACTAAAGGACAAATAAGAAAAAAGAATTTAGATAGAATTATAATTAAAAGATTTTTTTATTAAGCTATGATAATTACAAAATAATATTTTTATTAAATATTTTTATTTGACAATTAACGCTCAATTATTCTACCATAGTCATTGGTGTTTGAACATATATTATATAGGAACAACAACGATTCTTTAACTATTGAATTAAGTTTGTTCGTGCTATAATTAAAAGATTTAATATATTGTAGTTGAGTAACATATAGCTCGAAATTAATCGAAATATAATTAAAATAAAATTATAATAAAATTATTTAATTAAAACCTAAAATGGTATCGTTAGAATAATTATTTATACGTTAAAAACTCGGGATCTGAGGAGGAAAAGGTGGTCTCTGTGTGTGTGTGTGTGTGTGTTTTGGTGCGGGGTTGGCGGGGGGGGGGGAGTTAAACACGCCGTATTCCCCACAAGATGAAAACGCAACGTTTGGCCTAATACTGACGCTGAACTGGCCGAAAGGGGAGGAGAAGGAACAAAGAGAGTAGGAAACACGATCATTAGTTCTGATGAACAATCTGGAAGAGTCCAAAGGCAACAACAACCCTCAACATCAACAGGAAGAAGAGATGGCAGCCTCTTCGGCGGCGATGGACGGAAGAGCAGCATCGGCTCTCTGTTCAGTTCTCCCTAGAGTCCACCAGGCCGCGAGCGTTGTGGTCGTCAATCGCAGCGGATCTTCCATTTCCTGCAAAGAAAATCCAATTTGTCATTTTTTTTCTGGTTTCCATTTTGGAAGTGTAGCACTCAAGTAATAAACTTTGCAATTGCAGCTTCCGGTTGACAATAGAGTGGCATTTTATTGGGAATTTGCAAAGCAATAAAGTGAAGCCTTTGATTTGGTAGGCAGAGCTACGTTTTCTTTTTCTAGTAAATAAAACAGATAGAGGATTAATCCTATTTTCTTTATGAGTTATCTATACATTTTTTTCATCAGGGACTTTTGATCAAAATGCCATGTTCTACTGTGCTGCGGTCTAACCTAAAGCTAATTTTCTATGGGTTTTAACTTCAAATATTATCTTTCTATTTTAAAAAATATACAATTGATAATAATTTTAGTTGCAGCCTAGATGTTACATTGCCGCGGTTTTATTCTAAAATGTTGTCGGTCAATTACAGCTGACAATGTCGTGACAATAACTTTTTACCGTTGTAATCTTAATAGTTATACAATTTACATTATTTGTTTCCGGATAAAGTAATATTTTCCTTTCAACCGATTTTTTTTTTGGCCTCATATTAACCGCTTCTATTTTAGACTCATCTCCATGATACATCTTAGTTTATTACTACTTTTAGCCGCCCTTGTTTCCAAAATTGAACTTTGACTTCAGTTGGTTTTGCTTGTAATTCTGTTGGGAAATGTGTGTTGTGTAACTTCACTTATTCATTGTTATGCAGCAGGTGTGCCAAACTTTGCCATGGTGGAAACCGTAGACGATGAGAAGGTAAATCAAGGAGTTATAAGATTTTCTCTTCATTTTCCTTGATCATAATGTATAGGGTTGCTATAAAGTATTCCCAAAGTTTGCTGACACAATTAGAGAAAAGTTTTTTTTCTTTAATTTATACCTAATTTTGAATCTAGTTTTAGCGAGAATGGCTGATATGATTTTGTTTTACCAATCATTATGTAATAGCTATTGATAATTGATCGATAGTGTCACCAACAGCAATCATATCGTGGGCAAATATTTGTTTTTCTTTCTCTCTTATTTGTCATTAATGAGCAGCTTCCTTATTTTGGGCCAGATTGCAAACCATCTTAATCGTGCGGTTGGAAACCTCGAAAGAAAGCCTTTAAGAGGCTTAGTCCAGGTGAATACCAGTGGAGAGGAATGTAAGTATATTTCTGTCTTACTACCACTGAAATATAATGTTTTTTTAGTTGATTTGTATTGAGACTTCCACATTCAAGCTTATTGTCATGACTTTATACCGGATAAAACTGGTCTTTTTCCTTTAGCTCCTAATTCCGTACCATGTTCTATCAATATGGCAATTGGAAATAGAAAAACCTAGTTCGTTGGGGCTACATATGCTATTAGATTAGCTCAAGTATATTTGCCGACAAATAAGTTGCCTTTATCAATTGCTTGGAAATCGTTTTGATAGTATTCCCCTGCACCATTTTATTGCAGCGAAATCCGGTGTTGAGCCTTCAGCTTGTGCAGAACTTGCAAAACATGTTAGTCTGAATTGCTCGAACCTTCAATTTTGTGGATTGATGACAATTGGGATGCCTGATTATACATCAACACCTGAGAATTTCAAGGTGGCTGAACTTCTTACCATGTTTTACATGTACTTTTCAATCATTTCATTGTTTTTCTTACGACATTTCTTTGATATAGCCAGACACTAGCAAATTGCCGAAGTGAGGTCTGCAAGGCTCTTGGAATACCAGAAGAACAATGTGAACTATCAATGGGAATTTCTGGTGACTTTTAGCTTGCTGAAAGGATTATTTTCATTTTACCATCTAGGAAAGGAAAATATTGGAGTTGTAACAAATTGGCTTTCTTTACACTTTAGCACTAAAATATTGTACTATGTTTGTGCCTTTGTCACATGTGCACAAAGTCATGCTATGTTACTCAACTCGGTGCGTGTCAGATATGAATACATTTAATTTTGCCGGGTACCTAGAAGGAAGAAGAGTTGAACTACAGGGGAGCTACATATATATATGGCCTTTGTTTTTCTAATGGATTTTGTCATTGTCCTTGCAGATTGAAATGGGCAGTAGCAATGTGAGAGTTGAATCAACCATCTTTGGGGCAAGGGAACATCTAAAGAAAAAAATGAAACAAGTCCAGTTGTTAAACGAGGTGTGCACGTACAACACAAGCTTGGTTGATATGGTTAGATCAGAGAGAAAAAGAAATAGTGATTGATATTAGAATCCATGCAACTTGTTTATTCTACCCAAATAATGCTAATAAAAATGTAATAGTTTGTCTGAAATTCTAGTCTGAACCTTAACTCCAAGGAAATAAGAGGGAAATTCAATTGAACGACTAATGTTGTGTTGCCATTAACAATAAGTTGGGTAATAATGATTGTGGCATCTTATAAAGGAATGTTTGTGTTGATTCTTCCTATAACTGTTATGATCACATGGTTAAAAAATGTGGTAAGTTAATTGATGTGATAATGATTTGAAACAATTTATAGCATTTATTGTCAAAGTTGACTCTTCTTTATTTGATTTTCTTATAGGAAAGATGAGATTGTTCGTGACACATTGAACTTTGACAATGTATAATTAAAACGATGAAAATATCAAGAAAAAGTTGAACATCACAATCAGCAAGTAAAGAACTGACTTTTATATAGAACCGTCTCATACGAGGAGTTCATTTTCTTATGTGACATATATGGTGTGTATAAACAAATATCTTCTAACATGACCAATTTTAAAATCAAAATAATGAAACATAGTTTTTAAAAACAGAAGTATATCTCAAAAGCATTAATTTGACGTATTCCTTATTATCCAACGTGACAGACTTCTAGAACACGGTAAAGTCGAGTTTTGGCCTCAAATTCTACTAGTTCCAGCGGCATGGCTAGATTATGAGATGGAAGCGTAAGGCTAGAACATAATTTATCAGTGGACTAGATTTGTTCGGAGCAGGACGTCGGATTCCAATGCCCGATCAAAAATACAGTGAACCATGAAACCATAGAAATGGTAAGCTAAAAATATCGGTCTTTGTAAAACCTTCCAAGATTCAACCTTTAACGTGCAGTAGAATGAGTGATGAACAAGATAATACCCACTACCATCAGCACCACCAAATCCTTCAATTCCATCATCAACCGCCTCTCCTCACAAGGATCCCACGACCAAGTCCTCTTCACCTACATTTCCATGCTCAAATCCAACACCCTCCCCGATTCCCACACTTTCCCCAGCCTCCTCAAAGCCTGCACTTCTCTAAACCTCTTTTCCCTCGGCCTCTCCATACACCAACACATTATACACCATGGGTTTTCTTCGGATTCCTACACGGCATCTTCTTTGACAAACTTTTACGCGAGATTCGGTCGCACGACGAACGCTCGCAAGGTGTTCGATAAAACGCCGGACAGAGATGTTGTTCCCTGGACTGCCGTTATTGGATGCTATTGTCGTGGTGGCGACCTGGACAATGCTTTTTTAATGTATAATGAAATGCGATGCGGTGGGGTTGAGCCTAGTCCGGTTACTTACTTGAGCTTGCTCTCTGGAGTATTGGAGTTTGGTTACGTGCAGGCTTTGCATGGCTGTGTGGTTTTACATGGCTTTGAATCAGATATAACTTTGGGGAATTCGTTGTTGAATGCATATATAAAATGTGGGAGCATTGAGGAAGCAAAAGCGTTGTTTGAATTTATGAACCAACGAGATAAAATTTCATGGAATTCTTTGATTTCTGGTTATGCTCAGTTAGGGAATGTTGAGGAAATTTTGCAACTTCTTTCTGGAATGAAGATAGAAAGTACTGGCCCCGATCGCCAAACTTTTGGTTCTTTGATTGCTGCCGTTTCGGCACAGAGTAAACTTAATCTTGGAAGAATGGTGCATGGACAGACTTTAAGATGTGGCTTTGATTCAGATGCACATGTTGAAACAGCACTTATGGTTATGTATTTAAACTGTGGTAATACTGATGCTGCATATCGGATTTTTGAAGGGGTATCTGAAAAAGACGTGGTTCTATGGACAGCGATGATCTCCAGGCTAGTGCAAAATAATTATGCAGGAAAGGCTTTGATAGTTTTCAATAGTATGTTGAAGTCAAGAGTAGAGCCATCCGCTGCCACCATAACTAGTTCTCTTGCTGCTTGTGCACACCTGGGTGCTTTTGGCTTAGGAACCTCCATCCATGCTTACATTTTAAGGCAAGGATTGACGATAGATATTCCAGCTCAAAACTCTCTTGTGACCATGTATGCCAAGTGTGGTCATCTGGAGCAAAGTTGTGCAGTTTTCGAGAGGATGGACAAAAAGGATTCGGTTTCTTGGAATGCAATAATTTCCGGATGTGCCCAAAATGACAATTTATCCAAGGCATTGTTCTTCTTCAATAAAATGAGGTCAACCCTTCAAAAATCTGATTCATTAACTGTTGTCATTTTGCTTCAAATCATCACATCTACCAGTGCTCTCCATCAGGGAAAGTGGTTCCACAACTTTGTAATTAGAAGCTGTCTTAGGCCATGCATCTTGGTGGATACAGCTCTGGTGGACATGTACTGTAAATGCGGTGATTTGGACTCTGCTGTTAAGTGTTTTAGGGAGATGTCACAACGGGACTTGATCTCATGGAGCACAATTATTGCAGGATATGGTAGTCATGGCAAAGGGGAGGCAGCTTTAAGCATGTATTTTGAGTTTCTGCAATCTGGAATTAAACCAAATAAGGTGTTTTTCCTTTCAACTCTATCTGCCTGCAGCCATAGTGGACTTGTTGACCAGGGTCTGAGCATATTCCACTCTATGTCTAGAGATTTTGGTATTCAACCAGGAGTTGAGCATCGTGCTTGCATTGTCGATCTCCTTTGTCGAGCTGGCAAGGTGGAAGAAGCTTACAACTTCTACAAGGAGAATTTCTCGGAGCCCATCGCTGATGTTTTGAGCATGCTACTCGATACCTGTCGAGCAAATGATAACCTGGAACTTGCTGATGTGATTGCCCAAGATGTCATCATGTTGAAGCCTACAAGTGCTGGAAACTATGTCCAGATAGCACACTGTTACGCTTCTATGAGTAGATGGAACAGCATGGGGGAAGCATGGACTCAAATGAGGTCTCTAGGCTTGAGAAAACTCCCAGGATGGAGTTTCATTGACCTGCATGGTATAGTTACCATGTTTTTCTCCGGCCAAAACACTCATCCGAAACATGAGGAACTGGTTTGTACACTGTCAACTCTGAGGTGGGAAATGAGTGAAGATGGTGTGAACTTTAAGATGAACGAAGTTCGTGATATGTTCTTCGACTAGAGGTTTTTATGAACAAAAACTGCGGAGTACTCTATGCTTTGGACTGTAAAACAGATTCCAACGCAACAGATTAACTTTGGAAGATGAGAGGGAACAATTACGCTTGATATTATATCGACTGCCAGGTGCAGGTAATTTGTCTTTCTTCCATGTTACAGAGATTTGATGCATCAATGCTGTTAAGGCCTCTTAAAGGAAACTCTGAGATGCTCTGCAGAAAGATTTTTTTTTTTTTTTTGTGATTAGAAAACAGGAAAACAATTAATCATTTGTATAAGATTGTTCAAGATTGGGTGGAATTCCGAACCAAAGAACTCGATTGAATGAATTTGCTTGATTCGAATAAATTTAAATGTTCTTGATTTCGGGTTCTAACTTGAATGAATTTACTTGGATTCGGAGAAATTTAATTGTTCTTGATGGCTATTGTTTCAAACTTGTAAAATAACTCCCATTGGAAGGTTGAAATCATGCATCAATTAACTATTACAGACGATATGATTGGTGTTGCTTAAGGTTTCTGATTGTAAAGTTTGGGTTTTTTGTGTACTGTTTTGGTTTCATTGTCTAGGTAAAAGAACTTGAGTATTAGATCTAATAAGATAATTAGATAGGTTAAATGACCGTTGAAATATATATAATAATTATCATTGTAAGTATGGAGCTGTTACACTAAAAAAATTATGCAGATTGTAATGAAAATGACAGCTTTTCCTAGCCAGTAAACATGTATGATCTCAATCAGACTTCACTTATCATTTAACTAGCAACACCAATGTCAATGGTGATTATCCGAACTCCTGCACCGTGTTTCGATCTTCAGACTCTTCTATCTGCCTCCTGAAGCTCTGTTTCGAAACTAAAACCTATATCTGCATATACAATAGTGTTGTATATCAGCAAAACTTTAGCAGGCAACCTGCTTGCCACCCTAATTGTTCTTTACAGGCGTATCAGCTTAGAGTTAGGTGGTTTGAGATATTGTGATCAGCAATCATGTCAAATTGCATAACAACGATGAAGCATCAAAGGGAGCAACCACCCCATCACTCAAAAGCCGCATGGCGGCTCCTCTCGAGAACTTCCTGGCAAATAAAAAGCAAGGAACAGAGGTAGAGTTGATTCGACACCACTCTGTCCGGGATTCACTCTCGTAGTATACATGGTTGATGTCCTGTTCAAATAAGCACCACAGTTGGAGAAATGGTAAGATACAACATGCAGAATAATGGACCATATGGAGATGAGGCAAAATGATAAACCTTTATTTCTATGAGTCGTTTAGGGCTAGCATCTGCATAGTTGAATGTAACAGGATGCCAAGCTTTGTTATCCATTTTCGTGGCGGACTGATTCCACAGGGTATAGGTCAGCGATCTTCGTTCTATCTCACCTTCGAGCCCACTCATATGATGAGTAAAAAGACGAATGTAACAAAATCAGGAAAGTCGTGTATAAAATTGAAGAGACTAATTTTACTTACGAAGAATAGAGTAAAAGCTAAGAAAAACCAGAAACTAGCTCAGGGTAAAAGCTAACAAAATGGAATGGGATTATACTGATTCTTTACTTCCGCAAACAATATCGGCACATAATGTTCATCTGGGATACAATTGTGCTGTTTTTGAAGTTTCTGTGCAATCAAATGTAGGTCATCAAGCACATTGAAGGAAGCAGATTCTCTACCACAATATCTGAAACAACGCTAAACTCGAGAGCATTTGCAAAACAAGAGAAAATACGACACCTATGGGAATCAGATCTCACTACTAAATCAATGTTTTAGCTCCCGACTATCAAAACAAATAAAAAGGCTTTGCATAGGAACTATTCACCTTTGAGCTCTCACAGCTCCTTAAGAGCTGCAAGTGTTCCGATCTTTTGACTTAGTTAGCCGATTACTTAATTGGGTATGTCTTGCAATCCTTGCGCGAGTTTCTCTTCTAGAGTCCAGCTTGTTGAGGCGTCGTTCTAGCTCATCAAGATGTTTATACTCTCAAGAGGGTTCTCTTGTATCTTTTACAGATCCTTCAAATTCAATTTTATATGTTTTATTGAACTCCTCGAAACAAAATAAAAATTCTTCCAACAACTATCAAAATTTTCGTCTTATTTTTAAAAAAATCACAACTCCAAGTCTAGTTTTGTACGCTTCAAATGTAAATTTTAGGGACAATTTTGTAACTATTTGAAAAGTCACTGTTCATTTTTATAATATTTAAAAATTCAATATATAAAAAGATTAAATTTATGGACGTCTAAAAAAATGGAGTGGCTGTGCTTGTCAGCGAAATTATGGGATTTGGGGTTAGTTTTGTTGTTTCATTTCCCACTTACCGGTGCGTCGGCCACCGCCATAAAAGGATTTCGAGTTGTTGGCCAATACCCCGTTTTCCTTTAAAGCTAAGTTAATGTAAACATGAGCCGATGTACATCATTTAGTTCAAAAATAATCAAATTGAATTTAAACTCGATTTATTCGGATTTATCATGAAAAGACAATTTAATCATAAAGGGAGTTATATATGGTTTGAAAAGGTCACACGTTACAACATGCATCATCTATATACAAAAACATATAATCCCAGTTCTATGGATGTCCAAACCCCAACATCCAACATCAATCCTCTCTTCCTCCTGAAAGAACAAAAAACAAACAGGCGTTTTTATGTTCAAACTTCACATCTTACTGAACATGTTTGTATGATTTAAGACATAAAATACTCGCACCTGTACTCTTCCATACGCATTTGTGACTTACCAAGTTGAATGGCAGAATAAGAATGTTGAACTCAAAGCTGTCTGGGATCTCTTGTGAATGTGGGCACGTATAGGTGCACCAGAACTATTGGATGCTGCTCGCCTTGGCGCTTTGACGATCCAAGATAACGTTTAAGATCTTTCCGGGAACAAAGATTCTCTTTCTGATTGGTTTCCCATCGAGATACTTCGAGAGTTTCTCGTCTTGTGAAGCTAATGTAAAAGCATCCTCCTCCGAACATCCTTTTTCGACCTCGATTGTACCCCTGGTCTTGCCGTTTATCTGGATAGGCAGTACAATGGTTGATTCCTTCAAGTACACGGGATCAGCCTGGCATTGGAGTATGAACAAGGTTGTGAGAGGTTATCACACTATTACACCCCTTCCCCCCTGCCTATAGTAAGTGGTTTGTTGAAGACGAGCTGTAAAAATAAATAAATATAAATCTGAACAGAAAATTATACCTTAGGGAAAGCCTCGTACGCTATCGAGTCCGGATGACCGAGGCGAGACCAAAGCTCCTCCGCCATGTGAGGTGCATACGGCGAAAGCAACAAGACAAACGCTTCAATAGTGGCTTTTGGAAGTTTGTCCCACTGATGACATGAAATAGGGGAAAACACAAAATCAGATCACAAATGGGCAGAGACAAGCACCAAACAGAACACCAAAGACTTTTGAGGCAGAATTCTTCTAGACATTACACAAAAAGTGATCTAACAGGACCCAACTAAAAAAATGTTAGACAACACCGAAAGAAAACGTCCCAAAATAAAATGTTCCGAAAATTCCATATGCGTGAGCTTTTGCATAGTAGTAGCTGAACAACTTGTGTTGCTAGATCAAAAACATGTTAAACTTTGCTTAGGACCTGACAGATTGCACACTCTAGAATCAACATAAACCCGCTAACCCAACGATATCACTGACTAAAAGCCAAGGAAATATTATTCCGAAAATAATATATATTGAACACTGTTCATCGAGAAGTGGAATTCATGTCATTCATTCTCTGTGTAGCAAAATCGGTACAAGGGTCTGCCGTATATATAGCTAAAGAGAAAAGGTCGAGCTCCATTTGCTCAATGAGCAAAACCTTATATGCTGCATTGATGAACTCCATCATTGCAGAAATTCCAGTATTGAACCTTGTTCCTTCAATTTCCTCTGTCACCTGGTTAAAAAAAACAACCAATCACATTGAAACAATGCCCTCCTGGATCACATTTACATGGTTAATCAGATTTCCATAAGATGAAAAATCGAAAGAGAATATGACCTTAGCGATGCATTTATGGAAGGCACGAAGCTGTTCTGTAGTAGGTTCCTCATCAGTAACCAACGTTCCATCTCTAAATGCGCCATGATGCAAGGGTGAGCCAACTATCAGCCTCCAAGTTCGTCCTAAAAACCGATGGACCCCTTCAATGCCACTGGTATTCCATGTTTTTGAGTCTCTATAAGCAAAATGCAATAGGCACCTTTTGTTGGTTCCCTCTTTATACATAGTGATTAAAATACTAAAATAATTTGAACCAAATATTACCGAAATGGTCCCATGAACATTTCATACAATCGAAGAGAATCTGCACCAAATTCGGAAACGACATCATCAGGATTGACAACATTTCCCCTACTTTTACTCATTTTATGAGCACGTGCAGTCAAGCGAATGTTTGGGTTGTCTTTCAACAAAAAAAACTCCCCAGACTTCACAACCTACAGAAAGATCCACAAAAAAAAATAACAAGATGAAATGCCAGAATTTAAAAGCTAATATTCAGTATCGTGATGAACAAAATAAGAAAGGAAAACATATTGAAACATGTGGAAGAACATACTCTTTCCTCTGGAATGGTTTCTGGAACGTATTCGCCTAACTTTACAGAAGAGTCTGCAGATATATAGTTGCCATCTGTGTCTTTGAAAGCCGTATATTGAACCTGCCACTACAACCATGAGAAATACTTCGATTGAATTATCACTTTATTATGTACAAGAAAGTTTGCTTACTTCCCCAAGAATAATCCCCTGGTTTATTACACATTTGAAAGGCTCTTTTGTTGATACAACACCAATGTCATATAAAACCTGAAAGATAGAATTAGAATGCTAAAGTATTAGCAATGAGTAGAAATAAAATTAGAAGTTTTGATTTTCCAAAGGAGAACCAGACAATTTAGTTCGTGCTCTTAGGCAGCCCGCAATCAAGTTAGGAGTACTGCATGTCCATTGTATCTCTACAGAAGCTTTCAGTCATAAATCATAATGAAAGCTTTTTACCCGTGTTGAAATAATGAACAGTAGCTGAAAGACAACCTATCTTTATGTTTAGGCTCTAAAGATGTTAATTTGGTCCTGTTCTAGCACAAACAATCAGAATTAATACTTTAATGGCAATCCGGTTTAAGAAGGCAAGCTCGTCTTTCATCCAAGA